AAAAAAAAATTGCAAGAAGAAAAAAAAGTGTCCCTGAAAGGAATAGTATGAATCTTTGCCGTTCAAATCAAATTCCTAGACAATTCTAGATGTTCTAGACGTGAAATGAGTATTAAAGAAATAAATCTACCATGCATCATTTTTTAATATTAAACAATGAGGCTCAAAGAGGTAAAGTGATAGACGCAAGCTTGGAGAGTCGGTAACTCCAGCACTCTTAGCTGTCCGCTCTTTGGTGTCTGAAACAATTTCGTTTGCTATAATGATAACAATATTGAAGAAACCTCATCGAGAGCGACTTTGAGCCAGGAACTTGGCAAACATATTTTTGAAACCTCAATATTTACTGCAACCTGGTTGCTGTTATACCTCTTTTACAGAAAAGAAACCAAGAAAAGTTAAAAAAACGATACAAACATGAAAACCAAGCACATTCACTCCGTACAGGTAGAAAGTGGGTGGGTCGTTGTGCCATTTCTGCTCCTCGGGAAGACGGAGGAACTTCCCTAAAGAACAGAGAGCACACTGTGGACTTACGCATGGCCACTGCCGGCGGATGACACGTCCTCTTCTCTTACGTGTCTTGGGAAGTTCTGAGCCCAAATTTGCACATTCAGGAATTGAATCTAGAAGCAGCAGCTTTTTAGCACAAATAGGGAGACCAATTATCTCCTCAAAGCTCTGAAATATATATACATACTTGGTTTAATTTGCTAGGCTTGATCTAGAACATTTGAGGGGTGACGCTGTGAAAACTCGAGGCTCCCAGTGTCCTGGGGGCTCCGGGGCACATCAGGATGGAGGAGGTATTCCTGGGGAGATAAAAGATGAGTTTAGTTCCTCTGTAGAAAGATCTGAGCAGGGAAAGGTACTTCTGAAGATCTCTCTGTTTGATCTTACTCTCTTTAGGCAAGGCAGGCCTCTCTGTTTTCACCTAAACACTTCATGAATGGCAATTTCCAAATGGTTTTTAAAAATGATGTCTGGCGAGAGCCAGTGCTTCTTGAAGTTTTCTCCATTGCTGGGTTTTCCCCCCTTGCCTTGAATCACAGTGTTTATTTTAAAAAGCTTTTGTGGTTCCAGCCTTCTGCCTTTGTTATTGCAGCTGGACCGACTTAGACCTCCCTTTTCTCCTCCAGCCTCTTTGTGGTTTGGGGTCCAGTTGGGCTGCGTGAGGACTGGGCTGAAGGGGCGGAGTCCAAGACCATGGACTCATCTGCTTTTAGTTAGCCCCTGAAGTCACAGGTGTCCTTAATTGTGCTCTGCCTGCGCGAAGAAACCTTCTTTTCTCTGCGTCCTTTTGCCTCTCTGCATTCCCCGTGAATTCCCTTGAAGGCTGGGGTTTGTGTTTTGTTCTCTGCTTCTTATTGCCCCCTCCCCTTTCCTAGCCAAATCCCGTTTCTCACCTACACCCAGAGCCTGATTCTGTCTTTGCAGAAGAGAGATCAAACTTCCCAGGAAGGCAGAATGTGACTGCCACACATACATAGTCCCCTCCCTGGCGTGGCTGGGGACAGAGCAGCTGTATGTCCAGCTGCGTAGCCGGGAGCTCAGGCCCAGCCAAAAGATGAAGCTGCTGTGTGAAAATTCTGCAGGGAACCCAGAAAGATTTACTTTAATTAGAATTTATGCCGCAATGGAAGTCCCATAACTGCAGTCCTCTCTAGAAAGAGCTGGCTCTGCTGGTCACTGGCAGAGACTTGATTCCTTCTAAGCAGCTCCTCTGGCTTGTCCTGCAACTCTTCTGGTCACTTTCTCCTTTCCGTGGAGAGGAGCCTCTGGAGGCTCTCAGATAACATGTCTCCTGCTTCTGGGAAGGAAGGGCCTTCTGTAAATTTTAGTCAAATATCAACCGTTTCTTTGGTTTTCAGTTCAAAACTTTAATGGGGCTTAAGCCTTCCCTTGGTGTTGTCACCAGATCGCTTTAAAGCTTCCAGTTAACTTACTTGCACACACATCCTTATTTTCACATCTAATATTCTGAGAGATCAGCGAATTTTTAGAGCCTGTGTTTTTTTGGCCAAAAACCAAATGGCATAGTCATTTCTTTAAAAAAAAAAATAACTATCACAATTTCTTATTACAGGATTGCTTGATCCCAGTTTGAAACCCTTCTCTGTTCTGGCCCATTCATATGGGCATACTGCTTCCAAGTTTTGATGCTTTCTCTAGAAATAAACTGCAATATGCTAACTAACTGGGAGACTCTGAGAGAGGTGTGGTTCGTTTGCAATACCCTCAGCCTCAGGGATGGAGCAAGGTATTGCCCCATCTGATGCTTGTGGAATGAAAATTCCCGTGCCTGATTCCTATTCTAACTCTTGAGTTTGATTTATCACTTTGACACATTATTTTGATTTTCTTCATGGATGCATTTATGGAGTCTACTAACGTATATTTTTGTGATCGTGATAGAAACTGCACTTCTTGAATTTGGAAATAGTATGTGTATTCCTTTATTAGTGCACTGTATTAATCTGAGGACACATGTGAACTATTTCTTTTATTTTTGTTCACTTTCTCTTGACAGCTGACAACATAGAAGTGGAGGTGGAGAAAGAGCCTCGGTTTTTTTTTCCATCGTAAAGGAAGGAAAGTGGTCTAAAAGGAAGGCAATTCCATTCCAAAAGGCAGTGGTTATAGTTCTTAAGATTGTAATTCAGGGGAAGATGTTGCTAGAGGAGAAGAGCTTGCGGCTGTCGGGAGGCAACAAAGCAAGTGCCTTTTCTATGACATTTAAGGATTGTTTTGCCTTTTTTTTTTTTTGGTTTCTGCTTTTTTTTAATGTTAAAGATCTCAGTGTACTAAAAGTGACTTAATTGAATTAAGATACTTTTCTGGACTGGAAAAAAAAACATACCGGCTATTCTATACCAGTTTAACTTTTTCTCCTTTACACATTTTGTAGCAAGAAAACCTTTTCCAATTCAACATATAACAGATGAGACTTTGTCAAAGGGGCCACTGTTGACTGTGCTGGTATTTGGAGGTTCAAGTTAATAGCCTTGGTTAGCCTTGGTCGTCAGGAATATATTATCACAAGTGTAATGAGACACAATCAGCTCTCGAGATTGTAATCGTCCCTTAGATCTCGAGAGCAAAGATCACTGTCTGATGAGAAGCCGAGGATCTGGTTCACATTATGTAATGAGAGCATTATCGAGTCCTGTGAGCTGAAGCGAGAGCCTCCAATCAGCAAGTGACCTTGGCCACCGGCCTGTCGTCCCTGATGCCTGTTAATTGTCCAGATTTCTATTTCTGAGGGCTCTAATTTTCACTCTAGGATGACTTCGGAAAGGTCTGTGCCCACGGTGGTTAGTGCCAGACAGTCAGGCACCAGGGGCTCCCTGCTTGCAGTTAGCAAGATGGGTTATGTGCTCCTCTGGAGCAACAGGGCCAGGAGTTTGCTTTCAGGAACGAGCAGGTAGCCTGTGTGTTTTGAGTTCCTATTGCTTGACCGCAGATCTCCCTCTGTGGAGCTGGTTACTCACACAACCTGCAGTCCTCCTTCAGGTCGGCCTCTGATGTTCCTGTGTTGAGCCGGGGAGCCCTGTTACGGTGTTATGTCTGTTGTTCGTGCATTTTAGTATTTTCAGTCCATTCTCCTTTTCTTCTAGAGCATGTCGTAATTGTGCTCTACAAAGTTGCTACAAGCACAGAATTAGTAAATACTGAGCCATTGCTCCTAGGGGACATACAGGCTTGGGTTCCTGTGAACCTCCGGTTGCAATGTTTTTGTCAATGGATCAATAAATAACCTTATTTTATGTGTGTTTTTGTTAAAGGCATCTCATTTAATATGTACCGTTGGTTCATTAAGATTGAACTTGTGGTCAATAGCACTGTAACTGATGCCTGAACAAAGCACATCTAACACGTGCGTTTTCTCCATAAGGCGCATCACAGCCTTCTTGCACTTAGGAACACGGCCTAGCACTTGAGCCCTATGCTTGGAGCCATTTTAAACAGGTCACCAATAAAAAGCATGAAAGTGCAAAAGATGTGGCAGTAAATAGACCACGTGGCACTTGTTTACGGTATGAGAGTTGAAACAAGAAGGCAGAGGATTGCCTTGTCAGACCTTCCCTGGGAATGGATGGGTCGGGAGACTCATTTTCCGCGGGTCTGCACATGTCCGGCCGTGAATGACTGGGACGTCCTGATTCTGAGGTTTCAAATACCCTTTAGCTAGCAGGCGAATTTGCAAATAAGGAATCTGTGGGTAATGAGGATCAACTGTATTTTAAGCAGATGTTTAGACTTAGGATAATGAGGCAGGATTTTCGATCTGTATCAGCAAGTACCCTTGTGATTGCAGCGCAAGGGTGGAAGATCATGGAGGGGTGGCATTGAGTCATTGGAAGGACGTTCCCCTCGGCAGCAGCTCTCTGGACCGTCTTTTTTCCCAGGTAATGAATCAGACCGCTTTGGGAGCCTTAACGTGAGCTTTCCTGCCTGTTCTTCCGATGGCATTATTATCCCTGGACTTCAGTGCTTCTCCATTGACCTGGAAGAGAACAGTGATTTTGGAGCTTTTGTGATCAATAGCACTTTCAATAACAAGCTGGGCGAGGAAGCAAGGATCGCTCTTATTTTGCTTTAACACTGCATCTCCATTTTTCTTTTAAAATTTTGTTTGGGGAGAGTGTGGCTAGAAGCTACAAGAAAGTTTTGTTTGGTCTGGGTTAAAGAATGCAGCCCTCTTTGTGGGAGTTCACCATGACTTTTATCTTAACATTGCCTTGAGACTTCTTTCCAAAACACGCTGCCAGCCTCCGTGCCCAGGTGGGAGCAGTTACAGGGTCGGGATGCTCTGCATGCGCTGCATTTGTCAAGTGTCGGGGAATGCTGGCTGTCACTCCACAGCAGTCCTCCCCAAGCGGCTGACTTCTGTTGACAAGGCAAGGACAGCTCCAGAAGCCTGTGCACACCTAGCTCCGGGAAGCAAGCCGCTCCTTGTCAGCCGCGTGTCTGTCAAAGCAAATTGGAATTGAGCCGGAGGGGGCTCCCTCTGGTGATTGCAGCCAGAATGAAGATGTCTTCTGAGCAGTGGCAGTTTCCAGAGTGAGTGTCCTTGGGGAACAAAGCTCATGTCATTGTCCCTTCCCTGCTCTTCCTGTCTTTAAAGGTCCGTCACAGCATTCGGAGACACAGTAGGGCCAATCCTGAGCTGTGGGGCTGACGAATGGAAGAAATCTGGTAGGAAAGGTGAAGGAAGGCGAGAAGGGAAGAGTCTGTTCCTACGACAGAGTTTATCATGTGACGCCAGGTGAATTAGGGGTGGACCTAAAAGCATTTAATTACTCAGATTTCTTTCGGGATTTTCTTTTACTTCCCCTTCTACTGGGTGGTGCAGACAGAACCCTTGTCTTACTTGCTGTTCGCACCTTGCTGGGTGGACGCGCCTTGCCTGCTAAGGGGCGTTGCTGTCTGCCATGCCTGGCCGAGCGAGCCAGGAAAGACGACGGGGAGACTGGTGTTGCCCCAGTTCACAGCTGCGGGAAATCGGGAAACTGGCCCTTTTCTCAGCCTCCTTGTTCTCATTTCAGGGAAGTTAGGATCAATTTGCATCTTTTTAGCTTCTGGTAAAAGAACCCTGTGTACTGCAGAATGTGGAAATTGGAGAGACCTAATTTGAAGGGATAGAGGGTAGTTTTTCTCTATGAAGAATGGCAATAAACACCATATTATTGCATCAAATTGTGGTTTGGTGGTTTACCTTAGGAGTCTCTGAGATAAGTAGCTGTCACCAAAATTTCATGCCACTTTTCTGACTATAGTTCTTCTACAACATTTAGAAATGGGGCATGACATGTGAAATTGTCAGTAAATAATGAAATCGCATGCCCCTTACTCCAGTGCTTTCTGAAGCAAGTGAAGAAACAAAAAGCAAACAGGGCAGGACATTTTGTTCCCAGTCTTATCACCTGCTCCCATAGTGCTATCAGCTTGAATGAGGGCTTGTGTTTATTGTTTAATTTTCCCGGCATTTGCAGAAACTGCCACAGTGATGGGACTGTTCGTGATGAGACGGTGTCTCTGATGGCGTGTGTGAGGAGAGAGAGATGTTATAAAAGCTCTCGGCTGAGTTGCTAGGTGTTGCTGGTCTGAGAGAGGATACAGGTGAGATGCCTAATGTGACAAGAGCATCTTAGTTTGAATGCTCGGGTCTGTATAGTTTGGAAAAAAAAAATTCCCAAAGCAAGGACAGGTCTTTGAACTGCCATGGTTTGACTTTATTTCTGCATCATTGTTTCGTCGTCTCCAGAGTTACACCAAGCTTTCTTTAAAGCCCGGGATTCGATGATTAGGCGTAGCACCCTCTTGGAGTGCCCTCACTTCTGTGGACCTGAGAAGCGGTTGATGAGAATTCTAAGTGTGAACGAACCAAGTAAAACACATAATAAAGTTAAGATTAAAATGCACATTTTGAAGTCAAGCACAAATCGCCACTGAGAACATATTGATTTTCTGGTGCTGAATTAACTAAAATGCTTTCAGGTTTTTTTCAGTGTGGTGGGGCACATCATAATTTCAGTTTTATTTGAGCCAGAGCACATTCATGCTTTCTAAAGCCGTGTGGAAAATAGAAAACTGGACAGTGAGGAGGGAGATCCCTCAAACTTTTCTTTTTTCTGTGGCTCACTGGGGAGACACGACAGAGGGGAGAGTGGGGAGGGGTGTGGGTGGCACAGGCAGGTGGCCAAGGGTCAAAGGCTCTCAGGGCACTGGGAGAGTGAAGGTGCCTGAAGCCTGAGGTTAAAGAGGGAGAGTAGAAGCCCGGGAAGCAAAACCAGAGGCTTTGTTTTAATAATTGATGACTGCAGAATTTCTAAATAGGAAAACACTCCAGTTGAACTGAACATTTTTAATTCAAACACTGAATTAATTTTTACTTTGCAACTGGCCTGAAATCTATGAAAAGTGGATTTACTTAGGAAATTAACAGTGTAACCATGAGATTTACAAAGACAATCCTTATATTACTAAGGGAAAAGTGTTCTCCTTACTGGTCACTGTTGGACACTGGGTTGGCCTTATTCTCCCAACTTGACACCATTTGTGAACAAACCTTCCCTGGAGACGTCTCTGGATAAAAAAAGTGGTTCTTAAGGGCCATGGAGGCGTCTTCTCCAAGGGAATCTGTAGAAGGGTCCAGGTACAGGTGAGTCAGGTTAATGGACGAGAAGAGGGGAGAGAGACAGCAGTATGTTTGTGCGGAAGGGTCTGTGCACAGCTGGCATTTCATGAGTGTGACGAGGATGGCCAGCCAAGGGCATGTGACACGAGGGGCCTGCACCTGTATGAGTAGCACCGACAGCTTCTCCCGAGACTTGAAAACCTGCTAAGGAGGGGTGGCAAGAAGATTTTATTTTGAACAAAGATGGGGTTAAGGTAAGCCTACAGCCCCTGGGCCAGGAAGCTGTGATTTTCTGTCCTCACTTCTAAGAAAGTGGCTTGTGCATGCTGCCATCCACCAGCTGTTTTCTGGGCACTTGCTGTGTGGGTGGTGTCTTCTAGACCTGGGTGAGGACTGGACAATCTCTAGGTTCCACCCAGGTTAATTTTCCCTGTATGTCTCAGTGATTTTGATGGATGTCAGAAAGTCAGAGTTAGGATTAGGGGATATGATGTCAAACTGAAAGAATGGCTCCAGAGGCTAACTTTAGGGATATAGCCCTGGTCTGTTAATATGTACCCACACCCTGAGATAAAGGTGAGAAATTTTCATCACACTGTCACTCTTGGATGTGCTCATTTACTTAGGCCTGGCCTCAGGGATTCAGAGTTGCCTAGGACGGGTGGCCGCCCTTGATGGGAGTCAGACATAGAGCTTTGGATTTCGATTCATAAATAAACTTCATAGGTACCTCAAGCAGGGGAATTACTGTCTCGGTGGTTTATCAAATCAAAAGAAAAAAACAAACCAACAGCAGTGGTCAATTTAACACTGTTCCTTCCACAAACGGAGGGGAGGCATTGTCTTGACAGTTCATGAAGAGGAAACACAAACCCAAGCCCACTGCTGGGGTCGGGACGAGGAATGGGCTAGCTCTCACTGGGGGTTTCCCATGTGTCAGGCACCACCACCCCGAAGCACTTTCAGTGGAAAACAGTGAAGCACTGTTTTGTAAAACATGGTCTGCATTTCCAGCTGGTCTTGTTTTCTTCCCGTTTAGTTCTATGGAGTGGACTTTTATTGAACGTGGTCCTTAGGGATTAGCTGTGGCTCCTTTATTAATAAGTGGACTCAGAAATTTCCTATGATTATTCATGGTTGCTCTTCCAAGTTTGATATTTTAAGTTTCCGCTGTAGCTCAACAAGGTTGGGGAGAAGGACAAAGGTGAAGCAATGCCATTAATTCAAGCTCCTGGGCCCAATTTTTAAGGGTCCGTGTTGGGAAGAAAATGGAAGAAGCTTCTTGACTCCTACAGAGAAGCTTTCCTTTCCCTAGCAGGTTCACATCCGGACGTGCCCGGCCTTCTGGTTGTGTTTGGGGTGTCTGAGTGGACTGGATCAGATCGTCTCCTTGTTGGAGGCTGTGGAGTGGGCAGGGTGGCATCGTGACTAATCAGAGGCAGCTGATATGCGTGATTTCACGTATTAGTGGAGCTGTGCCGTGTCTTCATTTGGGAAGAAGATTCAGTACACTTTGTGCTGAAATGGATGATGTGACTCATTGCCAAATGTAAAAAAAAAAAAAAAAAAAGTCTTTTTATTCCACCACATGTGTAAACACTCTAAACACAGCAATGTTTATAGCAAGGTAAGACACCATCTGGTTTGTTGCATAGTAGCTTATTTCTTATTTTATCACTAATTTATAGTGAAAGGATGACAAATAGAACAGAATTAGCGTTTTTGGTTATGCAACAGCCCCAGGGATGCATATAGTGTTAAGTCCTCTATCAAACGTGAAACAAATGCTTAGGTGGAATGACTCACTCCTGAGCGAGTTGTCTCCATGTAGTAACGTGAAAATGAGATGCTTTTTTCTTCTGCAGGCCTTGGTGCCCGCCTTTGATGACATGAGATCCCACAGGTCATTGGGATGATTTCAGAAGTATTTAAAAAGTCTTATTTTTTAAATGCCTTCAGATGGGTGAACATTTTGAAATGACTTTGGAGAATTTTCTATGTTCAAGCCAGCATACAACACCATAGTTTGTCTTTTAAGGCAAAACATAATTTGCTTGGCCCGGATCATTGTATACTATGTAAAAACAGTAACATTAGGGTTTAGGCATATAAAATATAATAAATAAAGTCACAGATAGCCCGGAACTGACAATATGCATGTTGGATTGGCTTGCATGGGTTTGTACTGACCTTCTTCCCCTTACTGAGTTGAAGGAGAACATCTTTTCATTTCTCTTCACTGGATTTGTAGCTAGAAACTTCTAAAAAAAACTGCTAACTGTTCTATTTTTAGAAAAATAATTTTTTTTTTCTGAATGATTTAACCAATTGCTACTTTGCTATCAATTCATTATGAATTTCATAGTCAGGCTTTTCAGGGATAAATTAAGCCCCCCTCCTCCTTCATTCTCTTGTGACAGGCCTTCTGCCTCTGCTCGGCTCTGTTCCGAGGACGCGCTGATGCCAGTAATGGTTTAATCTACGGCAGACCTTTCCCTCTGGTTATATAATGACCAGAGGGTTGATATAAGAACCCAGGCCCTTCCTTTCTGCTTCAACAGAGATAATTACGTAACAATACTAGTTAAATATTTTTTTTAGAGTTAAATCTTGACCTTAGAATTAAATCTTGAATTTAAATCTAGAGTTAAATTTGAATCTCCTTTGTGAGGGCAAACTACTGCTTACAGGGTAAGGTTCCTTGCAAGTGTTATTCTGAATAAATAGGAATTGAGAGACCGCATTTTCCAAAGGGCCTCAGACACCCTTCTCTCTCTGGGCACTGAGATTGTAGTCTACAAAGGATGGATCAATTTAGCTGTCAAAATGAAAGCTCAGAGGCCAATTGTCCATGCAAATTAACCACTTGTGCAAGCACTTCGAAATTGCCTGCATGAAAAGCAAGCTTGCCATTTGAAAATTT